AGGTCACCAGTCACATCGCAAAATGTTGAATTATATCATCATCAATAGGAATCAATGTATAGGTCAATAGGTCACCAGTCACATCGCAAAATGTTGAATTATATCATCATCAATAGGAATCAACGCAAAGGTCACTAGGTCACCAATCACAACATCAAACACATGATTCCACGAATATTGTCATAAGTAGGAATCAATAGATCAGCGATCACTAAATCAATCGTACAGTGATAACAATGAACTACATAATTGGTTATGAATCAATGGATGAGACTGTGTATTGTATAATGTTGAATTGTAAGCCTTTCTAGTGTATTAGTACCGGTCTAATAGTGTTAGGGATTTTCTGGTTTTCTAAATAAATGTTTATAACATCAACTTCACAATGTCGTCATTTACCCGTCACACACACTGTTCAAATTCACATGTTTTATTTACCGTCGAGACAAGAGACATTTTCTCAATGTGTTAGGTGAAACAAAACATCGGAGATTTACTATTTCCATTTGACACTGTAGTTTCACTCGGAGGCACGGGTTGTACCGGATATGCTCTGGCAGGATATAATGACGTTGAGAGTGTTAAGTGAAGATAGTCACGCAGGACAAGCTAACTCTTTGGCGTCTAGCCATTGATTATATATATATAAGACGTTTTCAGTGCGGGGAGCGGGTTGGTGTAGTGGTAGAGTGCGGGGGTTTGGACTCAGATGTTCAAATCTCGACAAACATCAATGGCGTGCTAAGAGACAATGGTGAAACCCTCTAGATCTGGAATAATTTGTAAAGCGTTTCCGGGATAGCTTGAGCATAGCATCCTGCGACGTGAAGGTGAAACATAACAATATTATGTATAATGTAGATTCAATGGTTTAGACCTACATTCAAATATTGGGGCACAAACAACGATGACGGTGACTTGGGCGCAAAGTGGCACTTTGCTATACTGAAAAAGATACGTTTATTCGCCCGCGCAGCATGAGTATCTGGCATATTAAAGTTTTTTTTTTTAATTCTGAACTCAAGTATATTGTGTGGTGTGTATCTTTGGTGGTATGTAGGAAAATTATTAGGAATGTATTGGAAAATTATATTACATATCTAATATAATTTTTCAAACAAAAATCTTCGTGGAAAATAGTATTATTTAGCGTAAAAGATAGAGACGCCTATTTTTGATTAATAAGAATATACATACACATTTTCAACTCTAGAAATACGGCGGACATTATCTATACTTATTTAATACGCAAGCAGATATTTTGTGACAATTACTCCTCCGAAACTACTGAACCGATTGTCATGTTTTTGGTGTCATTGGAAAGAGCGTAACGTGAAGTTGTGCAGGAAACTTTCTTTTTAAGGAAATAATTAGAGAGTGAGGCCCTGAGGCCCTTTAAAGTTTCACATTTCTCCATAAGGATAACATGGGAGATGATTTTTATTTACAGAAACATATGTTTGTTACTTGAAAATAGTCAAAGTCTACTACATAATAATTTATTGCTGTGTGTTATGACTGTTAATGTATACTACATTTCAATCAAGGATTGTGTACCTTAAAGTTTACCCATAATGGATCTTAATAGGCCCTACTTTATTTTAATGTTGGGAATAGTAAAATTTAGTTGAGAATAAGTTACCATGATTTAGAAAACTTTACTATAATAGTTTATGTATTTAAACTCACCAAATCTTTGACATTATTAAATCGTTTTATGTAAATAAAACAGCTGATTGACAAATCAAACAAATCATCTACTTCATATGAATAATGTTGTTACACAAACATCGTTTTTTTTTTTACCAATAACTTGAGTCTTTTTTACTTCTGGGTGTATTTTGAGTTTGCAGTTATGAAAGCACCGAGCCAAGTAACTTTTATCTAATTTTCTTTATAAACTAACAGTATTAATTAATTAGTACATGAACTTGACAAGTTAGGTAATTAACTGTCAGTATGGCAAGGGGAAGAAGAGTGGGTCCTCGAAAACAGACAAAGGCGGAGACATCCATCAGAAAATCCAACTGAGTTTTTAAATATAGAGGTCAGTGTATTGCCAAGACTCAGATTAGACTAATAAAAGGGGGCAGTGGTTTTATTGATGTGGAATATTAATACATCAAAAGGGCCTCATTAATGGCACAAGGCTTCATGTGATCAGAATGGTTAACAGCTTAATAGAATGTAAAGTCTTAACCGGGACAAGTAAGTGGGGACATATGTTGATTTCGAGGATAAAAATGTGCCCGTCTGAAACAAACTTAAGTTACCTTTTAAAATGGAAAGATGCTAATTTATGTTATCTTTGGCATTTGCAGCACAAACCCTTTATTTAAAGATCAGCACTGTTCTTACCCAGATCAATTTCAGTCATGAGCAACTATATTGTATGTTGTTTTAAGTAAGGCTACATCTTTTAATAGGATACGCATATTCATTACGGAAAATTCTGACCAGGGTAATCTTCCTGAAGGTAACTTTAAGACTAAAATCGTAGTATTCGTGGAAGTGCTTTTGTGATAAAAATATTGTTTTTTAGTGTTTATTTTTAAAAGTATATTCTTCAAACAGCATTGTAAGACCCTCAAAATATGCTTCATAGGCCTTTTGGTTTGATATGATAAAATGTTTTGTTAAATGTGTTTTAAAATCTTTAACAAATAACTAGGAACACACTTGAACTTGAACACTTATTAATATACTAAATATAATACACATACAGCTAGAAAATGACTGGACTGCTTCCCTTCTAAGGCTTTATTATTACTGTATTTAATTTTCGACGTCGAGTCAATATTAATAACAGGATGAATTTGTTTTCTAAATTCATATGTTATTTTGCGGGGCATTGAGCCGCACAGGTTCACTAGTTAAATTAAAGTAGCGTACTTTAATAATAAATCCAAGCAAAACTTATCAAAACTACGAAGCATATAAACCACGTTTATCAAACAAGAGTTCTAACATATTCCTTAACAGTTATGTGTTTTAAAATCATGAAATGTTTTCAGAAAAGCTCTATTTATATGTGCAAAGTAGTGAGTTTGCTAGGCCTCTCTCTGCTCATAATTGTGTAGGATAAACACAAAACCGTCGTACTACCCGAGTATTCAAGATGTTCACCTTGATTTGCGACGTTTAATCGATAGTCCACAATCAAGGGCGTACGCTTACCTTTGGATCTTCTGTCAAGAGGAAAACGCACAAATGTAAACAACAATTATTGATATAACTTCTGAACAATTTAATTTAAACATGTGTATAGGGTTTTCTTAGTCTCAACTCTTATATTGTGTACACAAAATATCTCAAATATGAAAGTCGCTGGTATGATTTCAAGCGAGAATGATTCTGGAATCAACTTGTCATTCTGTTAACGATTAATAAAGGCTGTCTACCAATAAGGTCGACGTTATATTGTGACAAGACCAGTTTTTAGACCGTTTCCTAACAATAAACGTAAAAACGACAATGGCGGCGTGGGTAAAAAAAGAATCGAAAAAACGCCAAACAAATTGATATTGTCGTAGTATTTTTAAGAATGGGAGTATTTTCTTTAGTAAAATCACATGACGAGTTTTAAAGACAAAAAAATGTATAGGTAAAGTACTCAAATCCAATTATCATTTGTTCTAGTAATAAAAGAAAACTACCCAAGCCACGCAGTATTTAACATGGTTGTTTTGCTGTATACACTACGAAGGTGTAGGACTTTCCCTATTTTATATTTGTGTCAACTTGTGCTAATGGAACTTTTGAAGTTTTTTAGGAAACGGCTCAAACCCTGGCCTTGTTACAACGTCACTACGTCAATTTTAATCATCATTATCAAATGAGATGGGGACGCCATCTAGGTACGTAATTGAACCCAAATATGAGTGAAGGATGAGTGGAGAATGAAGTGGAGTGAGATGCCTTGTGTAGCTTTGGTACTGGCTCAGATCAGCTGTTTCATTAGCTTGGACCATTTAAACCCAATCAATGACGGCTGGGTCCTCCGAACCCTCAAAAACCTACACAATTTTTTTTAAATCTAAATGTTATAGTCCTTTGGTAAGCATCATCAATTGACATCCAAATGACAAAGGTCCAAAATAGATCTCGCAAACTGCTCCATATGAACGCGATCGCTATAACCAGACAGGCGTGAATTGTGCGATGGGGTTTGCGGAAACAGCCGGATAGATAGGCCGTAACTCCCTGTGCGTGACGGTAGATATGCGTGAACTATGCCGCAGTGCGCCGCACCTGGGACTCACCACCTCATGAGGGCCGTCGGTGCCTGGCCCAATACCAGGTGGCGATAAACGTCTAAATCAACCACTTCCAGCTGTATCTCGCCCCTGTGCACGATCCCCCCCCCCCCTCTCCACAGAGTCTCGTCATAACAGTTTGACTTCCGTGATTTTTTAGTGCTTTGATGCTTTGGGGAACCGCCGCTTAAATTAATCACTTCTTCCCGGTATATAATCAGTATAATCAATATGACACATACTTACCCCTATTAGCTTCTTAACAACCCTTATCATGGGTGGTGGGTGTAACTATAATATTTTATGGGAAACAACAAAAAAGTTGCAATAACTTTTGAACAATAATTTTTCCAGATTGGGGATTGCACACTTTGTTAAGAGTTAACAGGACTACAACATACTAAATTTGAATTAAAACCAGACGAGAAGTCTTTTAAATCTGATTTTGCGTTATTTTGTGGGTTTTATGAAAAAATCACCATTAAAAATCCAAATATAAAAAAATGGCTGAATATACCAAGGATTTAGTACACATATAAAGTATATCCAACCAAACCTCAAACTTGAATTATTTTACGAAAACAATACTTTATCAATACTTTGTGTGGACAGAGAAAGTAAAAATAGAAGTCGAACGTCTTTCTAGTCTAAAAAGATACACACAGATATGTTTAGTGTGGCGAAAAAGACCTAATATTGTCAGCGATTACAAAAAATATGAATATCATATTTTTAGCATCTTACCTCTAGCAGGTTGAGCAACAGAGCTATCAGATCTGGCTTCTTGCGTCTCAGCCGTTCTAGGGTCACCTCTCTGACGTTCTTGTCTGGAAAACGAAAGAAATTTTCAAAATGTAGTCTAGAATTAATTAATTAGTATAATATACCATACAATTTTAATTATAAGTGGGACATCCGTGAATGTGTACTAGCTGAATCCAATGTTTCATTCAAATAGAACATGTAGTTGAACTCCTCACAGATCGAGCTTTAGTAAAAATCATACTTTCTATCTTTTAAGTTGACAATGACATGTTTATTCCATCGCCTCAACAATGCAGCTGAAAAGTTTTAAAACTAATCCCATTGCTGTGAAAATTATTTAAGCACTAATATATTTTTTTTTAAATCATCATAAGTGATTGTTACTTATGTTTAGGATAATTTAACCGTTCAGAAGATGATAACATTAGAAACATTTCACTTCAAATGAAGAATCTGTTCTATGAACATATAGGGGAAAGTACGAACCTCAATATGAACCATTCTTGGCTTGACAAAAACAGCACTAACAAAATTTAGAGGCATTTTTTTCTGAGAAGGCCAAAGATTTTCAATTTGTTCTATTGAGAAAATTTTATTTTATGATCACACTGCTTTGATTGCTTGTCAACCATTGCACACGAATTGCACAAATAACTATTTGTTTAATTATGGAATACATTGATGGTACGGTAATACTTGCATATATTTTAATCTGCTAGACAAAAAATTACAATCCCCATAGCCATCAAAGGGTCTACCGTGACTATACAACGGATATTCCGTGCGTGTAGCCCAAGTGATCAAAGACTAATTTAAGTTACAGTTCAAAGTGGTGAAGACACTTTTCTGCAGTGTTGCATGTTATTCGGCTTGCGTGATAGTTTTTTCACATCACGTTAATTACATGTTAAATACATGATCCCCTTTACATGATCTAGGGTTGTAAAACTGTCAGTTTTTGGTTTGATGAAATTGCTTTTGTTCTAAGCTACCAAGATTCAATACATTTTAGGGTATATTTACGATTGTAACAATGAAACTTTTAACTCAATGCAATTGAGATCTCTTTCCAACGATGCTTAAGAAACATCGATTCGATATTCTACAATCCGTTTAAACAATTAAAGAGTGTGGAAGCTTTGACACTTAGAAAATACGTATGTTTGTTAAATGAATTACCAATACTGTTATTGATTAATTGCGAGTCTATGGCCAACAGATTGTAACCGTTAACTTTTATCATATAGTTTAATGTAATTTCTTTGCGAATTTAGTACTGAAGCATACCGGATTCTAATTGTTAAAGTTCACACTGTTTAAGTTCGAAACTTAGCCTAGCTGTTCTAACAACAAAAAAAAACAGCTGATTTTTCGTCAGTGACAAAACTACATCATTTAGCTACTATATTTTTCGTTATCGATTGTCATTAGGACTCCTCACCTCAAGCGGACTAGGAGAAGGCCGCTTTGCTAAATTTACATCCCCAATAAATCGTTTTTATCCCCCAAAAAATGCCCTATCACTCACTATATTGTAAAAGGAGTTGGCGGATGAAGGTTGTCACAACGAAAAAGGTAAAAGTGTTGCTAACCTCCTTCTATAGCAACAAATTACTATAAACACAGACAATATAATACCTTTCATTGTCTGTGCTATAAATTCCTTACCATCTTCCGCCCTATCAACGAAAGCTTATGGCACCGAGATTCTCAGAACTTGACTCAATACATTTCCAAACTTCTTCCCCAGCTTCTCATACTCTACTTACCCTGCAATACACTCTTAACCTTAATAAATACCCTACGGAGAATATTTAGAGGAGGATTCCTGTTAGAGGCTTTATGAACATCAGCTCCTACGGTTGGGTCACTTTTATGGCCCCGGCGATAACGATTAACCAAGGTGGCAACTATGGCAACTTAGGTCTTCAATAAACACTGTTGCGTCCCCATTGAGTTAGGTTATACGGTTGTTCACATGAGGAAAACTGCATTAAGTAGCAAGGGAGTGTGTTTGACCTATGGTAGCATCTACAGAAAACTTGCATATATAAAGTGTGGTAAAACAGCTGATCAAACACTGTTCCATTGTGCTCTATTATTTATTTTTGTTATGGTTTTCTTTCGTGGTTTTCCAACTTTGACTGGGGTTGTGTACCAATCTATTAATCTTCTGTGTACTAATAATGTTACGTTACGTTATAGATGGTTTCACACCTGAGGACGGGACCAGATTACAAAACGTCGGTAAAACATTGTGATTTCACTATTCACGAAGGACAATTACCGCAAAAATCTATAAAATAACGCTGTTTAGGCCATGAGTAAAATTTGTTTACAGACTGTACAGTTTCACAAAGGCGTTTGCGTTTTAAAAACGGGAAATAGTTGTATAACTAACAGCTGATTTAAAATAAAATTCTGTTTTGTGCACCATGTATTTGATTATAAATTTTTGTTAACCATTGTTGTGATTTAAGAGGGAATCCACCAAAGACGAGAGAAAAGTACTACAATTATTCTTACTTAATAACTTTGATTTCAGATTGATATTCCATTAATATTTTACAAACATTAATAGTACGTGATGATCACGTGCATACAAGCTACAATTGACAAATGTAAGAGAGTGTGTAATGCAACTAATTGTTCTTGGAAAATGTACAGGCATTATCCGAGTGCCAACACACAGAAATAAACTCTCACTAGGTCTGTTGTAATTGTTACTTGGATTGTGAAGAATGAAAACAAAAACAAAACTGCTTAAGTTACGTTGTGAAGAAGATTTAAAATTCAGCACAAGCTTGAACGTTAACAATAACGCAGCGACGATCAAAGTCACATGGAAAAATCTATTCAGATGTATTGTTTTTTATGAGTGGAGAAATACAATTTTTAAACCATCCAAATTAAAAGCTATGTTAAAACGTGCGTGGGGTCTCATAATACATAATCTTACAGTGCCTAATCGCGAATTTGTCTTACAGTGCCTAATCGTGAATTTGTCTCACAGTGCCTAATTCGAACTTTGTCCTACAGTTGTATACGGTCCGAGACTAGAAACAGTTGTCCATCATCATTGGGATTTGTATGGTCATGTTATAGAAACATACTCTCATTAACAAAATCTGGCGATCATCTTTTTCTCTTCTAAACTTACACTAATATTAGCTTAAAACACTTAGTGCGTTGCTGCCCCAATTAATCAAGTGTCAAGTGGTAAAGAGAAGGAGATTTCAATTTATTTCCACACAAACAAATGAGGACGGGGATTGCCCAACTCCGCGCAGTGGTCAAATTTAATCCGAGGACAAGCTTTATGGCCCCCGAAGGGTTCAGCCCAACTCCGCGCGGTGGTCACTTTTAGTGTCAAGTCCAACTCCGCGCGGTGGCCACTCCTAATATCTACGGTAGTTGTTTTGGTAAAGTTTTTACCAAAACAAAGGCTACAGCACATTTGCATGGACGTGAGTTGAAGTTTCCAAAAAGTTTGCTGCTGTTATTACAATCCCGCCGCACCAAAACTGCAGACTAAGCGAACTTCTAATTGCCTGATTGCATTACCAGTAAAACATCTCTTTCAAAATATACTATTTATTCCCTATTTAAATAGCATTAGTTTAATGAGTACACATAGGTTTGCTGCAAGAGGCAGGGTAGTAAGTGATTTTGTGAAATGTCAATAGTTAAGTGTAAAATTAATGCATTTCCAAATTTAATCAAAATACACTCCTTTTACAGGAAAATACAAAAATTTACGTATTCTCCATAAGAATAACATGGGAATTATAAAATTAAAATTTTTTGGCATTTTATCTGTAACTATTATGGTGCATAATAACACTTCGATATACTAAATTATTTGTCTTTAAGCTCTACAAATTGCTTTCAAAATAAATTGCAAAAATGTATGCTTTTAGGGTCAAAGTTGGGAACACTCGATTTTTTTCATCATAAACCCCAGTTTTCATGGTCCGATCGTGCTGGTTCGTGAACTCGGTCGAATAAATGTAGGCTTAACGTTCATACCAAATTTATTTTTGCTCGAATTATCGTGCTAACTGACATATACATACATCAAACATATATATGAATTCGAACGGATGGTGTTTTCGGCCTTTGGGACATAAAAACGAAAAATTAAATCAGTGGGTTACCATAATAGGTAGGTCTTACCACAATACCTACGGTAATAACTAATTCCCTATATGGGAAATTCACTAAAACGTTGGTCTGGGTCTGGCTTCAATGAAAATCCTCTTCATCGACGTCAAATGCGCCATTTAATAAGACGTAAACGAAATATTTTAGCTTATTATACAAGTAAAATTATAGATTCACAACTGGAGGTGAAACTTAAAAACCACTATGTAAGAAGTTCAAAAAGTCCGTACGAAGAGTGGATACGTATGAAAGTTTCTGAAATTCACAGTTCACAATTATTTAATAATACATTTTATTAACGATTTCATGAGCTTTACGTTACACTTGTGTGCTGCGATCACGGATTTTACCTTTTTATGCAGCAATATACAGCAAATTCGCTGTAACCTCTTTTTTTGTAAAAAAAAAGTTTGCTCTGCATCTAAAAGTGGCTACAATGGACTTTTTAATGAATAACAAAAATTAATAATCTCTTCCATTAACATTTAACAAAGGAAACATTTTAAAATTCTTTTTGTAATCAAATTTAAAGTATAAGTTTGTTTTTGAGGTTTGCCAATAATGTAATTTAGTTTTACTGGAAAATTAATTAAATATTACTTACCGATAATGTGGTTTTTAAAATATTTACGATTGTAAAATGTTTTACTAAGGTTAATATTGCTTCGCATTTTAAAGCTTATAATTATTGTTTAACTATATTAATTTAAATTTATTATGGTTTGAAATAAGTGTAACTTTTGTAAATTTGTAAATATTTTACTTATACAATTTTAGTAGGCTAATAATTTGTATTTTATTTTTAGTCCAGATATTTAAATGGATTGTTCTTTTTTTGTTGTTTTTTGTTTTGTAAATAATATACACGATGTTTATGTTGACGATGATTAATTTGATG